TCCATCTGCTGCCGCTTCGCCTCGTTCACCATCTTCTCCTCGTAGGAGTCCATCGCGAGGTAGGTTTGGATCTGCTCGATCGAGGTGTCCTCGCGCTTGCCCCCGGCGACAATCTCGTCCATGGCGAAGAAGATCTCAAACGTGCGCTTTTCGAGCGAGCTCTCGGTGATCCCGTCCGGGGCGTACTCCGGGATGATCCGGCTGATGAGATGGAGCATCTCGAGATCCTCGACGAGGTTGCTCTTGAGGCTCGTGACGAGGATGAGGAACATGTCCTCCAGCGGCTGGTATACATAACACACACTGCCGGCTGTGATATACGTGGCTTGCGCATTTGTGGCCGATTCCAGCAGACGCGGGAACGCAGATAGCAGCCCTTCGATTCGGACACGACTTATATTGGAGAATTGCCTTGACAGGATGATCCGCCCCTGCTTATTGACTATTCCAGCGGATATAATGGCCATTTCTCTCTTTCTTTTTTCTTTTTTCTCTTTTCTATCTCAAGTGATATTGAAACGTCTGTATATGTGTAGGTTCCTTCCTTGAATGTTGTTAAGGAAAAACAAAAAAAAGAGCAAACCGGCATCCGACACTCACACAGATGGGTACGCAACACGCTTCCACTATACACTTCTCCCAATTGTTTTTGTTGTATGAGTTGTGTTACATGTAAAGAAACACAGAAAGTTTAGCTGCTATGAAGGGGAATCATTTTATGATTTAATGCGTTATCATGTAGTTTCTGAACTATGGAAATTACTAAATGAAATTTCATAATAAGGTCGCGCAACAAACGTAAATTAAAGCATAATAAGCTTTCTACAAACGTACCAAGCTTAGGTTAAATTGCACTTAGCCATTATTGACTAGTTGGGTGATGATTGTATTGAAAGAGACATTTCAATACTTATATAAAGATATTAATCCTCGATTATATAGAATGGTTGTGGCTATAAAAGCTAGTAAAATATTTGAATGACAAGTTATAACATAGGTTCTAATACCTAGTTTATATGAATATGTGTGTGTGTGTGTGTTTAGCTCGACTTGAGCTAAAAGTCTGAATTGTTCCCTTGGACATGCCTATTAGATACACCTTACGTCTGGGTATCGGCCGCTGCTTTGGGCTCATTCCAATACCGCACTACATCATACTTCACTGCGTGCATTTTCGAGATTTCCTCCTCCACGTTAATTAACCGGAGGCGGAGATGGATGGGCAAGTAGAGGCAACTTTTTCTATAGCGGGAGGGGCACGCGAAGCCACGGGCTAAATGTTTTTTGAGTTGGATTTCGCACTCCGGGCAGACCCCACCAAGCCCGGAATTCATGACCGCGCTGGTGGGCTCATACTCTATGAGATAGTTCGCCATGCTCACCCCGAGACTGCTGGGGTAGCGGCAGTGGTTGGGAACGAGGGTGGGGTCCTCGGGGGCCCCATTGAGGTCGACCTCGCCCTCGGCGACGGTGGGCGGCGTCTTCAGCGCGGCCTGCCCGCCGTCCTCGGGCTTGGCCCGAGGCCCGTCGGGGTTCTTCCTCCCCCTTCTGCTTCGCGCCCCCCTCGTGAGGGTGGGGCGGGGGTCCTTGGCGAGGTCGCGGACCCGCCGGAGGCTGATGTCCCAGTCGCGGGTGGCGGCGCAGACGTACGCGGCGAGGCCGACGGCGGTGGCCAGGCTCAGGGCGAGCAGCGCGATCCCCCCCGCGTGGGCGTTGGCGCAGAGCACCGCCACCCCGCAGGCCTCCGCCAGGACGTACAGCA